AGATGTCCAGCCCCCAAGGTGTCAGAATAGCACAACCGGTGGTTGCCTCATCTTGCTTTCTTCCTTAACAATTACTGGCTTTCTTTCTCATCATCTGAACACCAAACAGATATATACTCTCATGCCGACCTTTGATACTGGAGAGGATGCTTTCTCTACACGAAAACTTTTTCCTGTCTACGTGCAACAGGTGTAAAGAGATGTGCTGAGGAGACTCACTCTATCACTCTATAAATAGAAATGAAACCGTGAGTCATGTTGCAGTTCTTTACTGTTTAACCAACTGTGTTTATGGTGGAAGAAAATAAACAGCAGAAGGGAGAAGAAGTAAAAATCACTTTTATACTTTTGTTCACCCACAAACACATTTTTAATTCATATATTTCCTATAGCCTACTTAAACCTTTTTGCTTTAATTTTGAGCAACAGTATCAAACAATGGATGTTGGTTAATTTACATTTAAAACATATTAAGTTACTATAGTATAAATAACCAGATAGGCCTACTAGTTAATCCACAAATATTAAATTAATTATATAATTAAAACAACATATCTGTATATGTTTTTTTCTAAGTCCATTAAGTAATTATTTGATCGGTCAACTTTGTATTTAGAACTGTTATTTTTATTCTTAACTGTGCATAACTTCCGTCCTTTTTTCGCTCTGTGGCCTCCGCTCACACAAATGCAGCTGTTTTCACTGTCGCAAAGTGTGGATATTTGTCACAAATATAATGTGCTAGTAGTCCGCCTCGTTGGAGCAGCCCGGGTCCCGAGTCATTGTGAAATACTGTGACCTTGGTTATCAATCATTGTATCAGGGTATCTAATGTAAACAGACGCGTGGCGTGGATAACATGCCACATCTGCTCTGTGGAGAGCGCTGCTACTTGGTTACCAAGCGATTTATTAGTGAGCCCCCGCGTGAAGAATAATAGGTGACAGTACAAAACCAGCCAGCAGCTCTTTCTACAAGCAGACAATATATCTTAAACATTCTGTGGTAACTTTATTATTCACCTGCATGTGTGCAGCAGATAGTTTGGTGTCCCAAAAGCATCACAAAGAGAGGCAACTAGTTGTCCTGGTTAAAAGCAGCGTGCGCTGGGAGCCGTGTTTGCGCTCGACACCAATTTATTGCCGATGAACATATGGCCAATATTTTGTCTCACGTCATAGCACGGGGTAAACAAACACCCAGTAATGTTAGCGAGTCAGCAAGAGCAGAGCCACTTGGCCAGCTATGCAAACGCTGTTGGACAATATGAGAAGAGGAGCACTTGCTCTCTGGGTATATAAACCACATCAGGCTTATCTCTGCACGCACTCCTGACTCCCATTTGGGGATATTTCATTAACTTCGCGCGCTGTCTTAACGCTGGCAACACATTGGGCCCCCCTCCAGTCTAGGTAAGCGCCCCATACATTACCTTCTGTTTTAACAGCCTAATACACACTTCTTAATAGCTTATTTTTCTATTTTACGCGCATTACCACACAGATTATACTTTACTGTACAATAACTCTAATAGTTTTTTTTGGAGTCAGTTTAAAATGGGATGCTTATTCAAACTGTAGGCCTGTTGGTTTTTAAACTACAGTAGGCCTAGCTGGTGATCACAACACACTCACGTGAGTGCTCTCTGCTTGGTTGAACGTTGTATTTGTGACGATACACTGTGAGAGTGACCTGGGTTTTCTTGTCCGAGCTCACTCAGGAGAAATCATTACTTCATTATTTGGAAACATGTAAAATCTGATTTCTTTACTTGTCTCAATCTTAAGACATGTTTTAAGAACCCTTCTGCTTTTAACAACATCAAACTACAATGAAATATAACATTGATAACACACACTGTATTTTGTTAACGTGCGTCCGTGAAGTTCAACCCGTTAGCCTTATGCATTGAAGAAGAAAAAACATCTGCGTCGAACGGTGAAATGGACATGGGCGAAGTTAATGTGCCTTTGCTTGAAGAGAAAGCAACACAAATACTTACTATACCTCATAACACAACATCTGTCTGATGTTACTGCATGAATTCCTTACATGATGGCCTATTATAGGCTAAGTTGTCTAATTGGGTGCACACAACAAGCACCCCCCTGCTGTTTCTGAAATGTGCCGGTAGAGACCGCTAGAGCTCTACAGATGTCAACAGCTGTTAATGTTATTACTGCACTCACACACAGGCTGCCTAACAAGGAGGACAACTTGTCTGTACTTGTGCCATCCAGAGCGGGATAGATTCTCCAGAGAGGATGATTCATTTATTCATTATATTATTAAATAATTTATGTTTCTAAATGTTCTAGCATTTCAAAATGATAGTTTTCCCCTTTCTGAATAATCTGAAGACGTCTCCAAGACTCGGGCCATCCCCCCCCACCCACCCCCCTTCCTGACAAAGTCAGTGAGATACTGAAATAGGAAGTGATTAAAAAATAATAAACCCGTTTTTAGCAGTTCGTCTTACATGGGAAAAAGATTAAGGCAAATGGCACAGCGTGGCATGAAATTCAGCGTTACAAATAAACTGGTGGTTTAACAAATGAAGGCATCTCCTCGGGGCATGGGCGCACTGCTATAATCTCGCCGTGACATGTTTAATCATTAGAGGAAAGGAGACGTATAAAGACTTTTGCCCCGGAGGGAAAGGTGGCTGGATTTCTGTTCAAAAAGGAAAGAAAGAAAAAAACGGGCTTCAAAATGATTTCTTGCCTGAAGCCAAGTCTCCCCAGGCCATGGCTTAGCCCCCATAATAAATAAACCGGACCCGCTTTACCTGCATATTATATATAGGCTTTTAATCATAGAGGGAGGAAATCGGTCTTGTCACTCTGTACATTTATCACGGGCACCCTGAGGCAGGCGGGGTTACCTTTATCAAAGACTAACTCCCAGCCTGAGGCTTCCAAACACGCTGAAATTCAGCGATTAAAGGAGAGAATGATCAACATTATTATGGATTCTCCTGCGGCATTCTTATTTGTGCATTCAATCGAAAGATTTATTTAATCAAGAATATAAAAAGCTCTTTCTTCACTTATTTGGGAACAATCGTGGGGCATGAATTTTTAGGAGGGAATTATAATTAATCAGACAGGGCCCGTTTTTTGGGGTTCATCCGAAAAATTAATTGTTTTTGGATGAGTCCATTCTGCTGTACGTTTGATTGCAAAGCTGGGATCAGAAAAATGTAACGAGCTTTAATAATGAGCCAGTCAGCTCGGTTGCTTATAATATTAAAATGGGAGCACTGGCGAAACTGGTGATAGCATAATTATGGCAGAAATGATCACATAAAACGGTTCGTTTTGTGTAGTTTTACGCACAGCAGTCAAATGAGAAATAGTTTTACAATGTATCGTTGTAGTGTCAGAGCTGAAGATTTAATGTCAGCTGAACTCAAATTAGCGGGTGATGGGAAGCAGCAGCCCTGCGCCCTGCTTTGTCCTTTCAATCCTGGTGCATCTGCAGCTCAGAGAGAGGCCCTTTTCACTAGATCTTCTCTCTGGTTTAACACCCCCATCACATACAAACACTTTTCAGACACACAGTCCTAAATGAATACTGAATATGTTTTACCAATGAAAAGGGGAAAGCACGCTGTCCCAACTGATTTGCAACTCTCTAAGTTTTTTGTTTGAGTATAAACTTTTACAACTTATGACAAGAAAAGTACAAAAAAAAATAACGAGCTGGAATTGACAATATTATAATCATAATAATAATAATAATATTAATTATAATTATAATAATCATATTAAAAATAATATTTATAATGATAATAATAATGTAACATTAAAATAAAGTGTAAAATTACTGGACGTACTTTGACAAGTACATTTTTTTTTTTTATTCTTGTAATTGATCTCAGCTTGAGGCTTCCTTAGGAGATTCTCAGGACTGTAAACACTTTCCGGTGTTGGTCCCGTTGACTCGTCCCGCTCTGCAACAACAGTCTGCATACTGGCCTCTGTCAGAGCGAAAAGGCACGCGGCCTGTTTGAACTACCTGTGAAAGTAAACAGGTAAACAGAGCGATAGGCTCGCCAAGTGGAGGACGTCCACTTAGCCTGTGCACATTTACCTCTTCTTGCCGAAACCCTCAGCTCAATTGATCAAATAGTATATCCCCAGTCACTGGCCACAGTCTGCAGCCCAGTGCGCTCCCCTGCACCGTCACCAAACCTACTGTGACTTCCCCCTTGTCACCGTGCCACACACAGCAAAAGCAGAATGGCACGGGTGATAAGCCTGCGTGCTCTAACACATCCTGGTTTGGCTTCTCACACTTAATAAGTATGAGTGAAATAATGTCCCACATGGGCCAAGAGAATTTCCTGATGAGATGCGCACAGAGGCTGCAGCCGGGGCCATTCCTGCGTGGTGCGTAAAGCGCTGTGGGTGTCTGCTGCGAGTTGGATGTCCCTTCACATGTCGGATTTAGCAGTGCAGCATTACTTGGTGGATCAGGTCAGTAACCTCTCTCTCTGCCTTATAGAGGATCAGGCACAGCTCCAGTTTGTCCATATAGCCCGCTCAGCTCAATGGAGCCTTTGTGGGATGTTGAGACTTGTGATTAATTCTGCCAGTCTGGTGAAATATTTACCTCTGGCCTCCCTGTCAGGTGCATTTATATGGAACCAAACATTAGAAACTTCAACCAAATATCACCTTCAAATTTTACATTATCCCGATAAGTAATCATGCTTGGCGTCATTTCTTATATTTATAATACCGATAGTTCTATTCGTCTAATAATATTTTTTTTAAAAGAGCAAAAACTCGAATAATCTTTTGAATGTGCTTGAATGTATTAATTCTATTTCATTCAATTTTAGTTCCACAATCTGTGGAACTAAAAGAATCTTAAATACACAATAGTTCCAGCTCTACAAAACAGTCAGATTGTGTATTTGTGTGTATTTGCGTGTGTGTGCGCGCGCGCGCGCGCGTGTGTGTGTGTGTGTGTGTGTGTGTGTGCGCGCGCGCTGAGATGAAGGACTTTTCTTAATATTGTGGAAGGATCCAGGAATTGAATGAAGAGATAGTCCATTGAAAGCAGTTGAATGCCATGACAACTAGGAACAACCTCAGATTTATTCCAAACAGTTAGAAAGCATTGTGCGCGGGGCGTCAATCATCTATTATTTCGCCCCTGAAATAAATGCAAAAACTGCGGCCGGACAAAAGCTTCCAACAGGAGCCGGACATTTGTCTACATTTCCTCCATTGTCTGCAGCTTAGCAATCGGTTTGTATTTGTGTTTGCCCGGGTCCGACCACCCAGGATGCGCAGAGGACTTGCTAAAAAACGTGAAACATTGTCAACCACATCACATACTGGAGAGCAGGCAGAGGGAGGAGAACGAAAGGGAAAGTCTTGAGGGAAAGGAAAATAAAGTAAGCAACAATGATAGTCGGATTTCCACTGAAAAAGCAAGAGGGAGCACTTTAAAGGGGGGGTGAAAACAAATATTAGGATGCGCTGCCACGATGAATAGAGGGGCGATTTATTTGGGGAAAACTCAGAAATAAAGAAATATAAATAATATTTATTGTTGCATAAATGCATGATTAATTCGAGGAAATATGTATACATAAAAAACTAATTCATCCAGGCCGGTGTTTTGTCTACCACTTTATGTTTTTATTTCTTATTTTTCAACCAAAACCAGTCATTTACACATTATTCCAAATATATATTTGTAATTATTAATATTGCTTTAATTATACCTATTAATATTTTATTTCTAGCCTAATAAATATTTCATTACTGGTTATTGTATTTGGTATTGTTGCTATTGTTGGTTTTACGGTCCTTATAATCAGCAGTACATTTGGATTGGCCTACTGTCTTAAATACTTGCTTAACGCTTTTAGACAAACAGTTCAGCTTCAGTTTCAACATTCCCTCTTGTCCTTAAGCCCTGGCAAAAATATTGACACAAAAGGTTTACATAAATTATCTCCGAATATTTGAACAATAGCCGCTCTTCTTTTCGCTTCTCATAGCTTCAAATAAAGAATACGCATCGGACCCCTAAATGTACTGTTTTATATAAATAAATAAAAAAAGGTGGAATTTAATTGTGACGAAAAAAATGCAAAAGCTTCAGTTGGAGCAATTTGATAAAACTGGCTTTTTAAGTATTGTGAGTATAAAGCTACTTGGAGGTTCTTTGTATGTAAATAGGGTGTAAAAAAGGCCCTCCCCGTCTTTGTAATTAATTGACACGTTATACCACTCATCATGCTCTGAAGCACCAATGGTAGAGGCTCGGATCTCCCCAAAACCCACAATTTCACATCTGCAAACACTGTCTTCATCCACTTGACTCCTAAGACCCGCCCACACGTGGCCAACCTTTCGCGTGTTTTAATGCTTTTTCACTGCAGGTTCATGTGTTGAGACCAACCTTATATGGACTGATCGGACAAGGTAATGGCTTATTTCCCTCTAGCACCCAGCAGTAGCACAGTATCCATGAGCCACATATAGCACTTCAGCCACTTTGGCATTCTTCCTGGACTTACAGACACTGAATCCACAGCTACTTGCTTAGGCAATGGTTATCCACAGAGGCTGCTTTGACTGTACTTCAGCGTAGAGCGACTCTTACTCTTCCCATTTTTCCTGAAACATCGCCTCTGCTTCTTTTTGTTTGGTTTTGTTTCAGAACAGCGGATTGTGCGAGAGGCTGGTGCAGCAACTTTTCCCTACATATTTCCCCCCCTCCACCAGAATATGTCGTTGACCAACACAAAGACGGGCTTTTCTGTAAAGGACATTTTGGACCTTCCTGACACAAATGACGAAGAAGGATCTATCACCGGAGCGGAGGAAGATACGGAGGGATCGGAGACCACATCCACGACAAAGACCACTGGAGTTTTGGTGCAAAGTCCTCTAGAAAACGTTCAAAATCTGCCTTTAAAGAACCCCTTTTATGACAGTAGTGACAATCCTTACACACGATGGCTTGCTACTACGGACAGTATTCAATATTCATGTAAGTAGAGTCTAAGATTCCTTCTTGATCTTGATGATGATGACTTTTGTGATATTTTAAAGGTCTGCGGTTACATTAAGCCATAATTGATGGCACGCAGCCTCCTTTTCCACCCTAACGGTGCCCTTGGGTGGCATGCAGCATTCATCTTTATGCACCGTGCACTGCTGCGCTTCAGGCGTTTTATAGCTCAATAAATGCATGCAGTGGTTAGGCTACACGCACTTTGCATTGTAAGATTTTGATCGATGAAGCACCGTGGATAAACACGGAGGCTGAAAGTTATTCAGAGAATAACCACGGTGCCAAATCTAAGAGTGCATTCTGTGAGGGATTTACAGGCAGACAATGCACCTTTTAATGCTTCACTGACTCGCTCTGCCTGTGCACATTGGAGCTGAGGAATAATTTTGTGGTGCTTTTCACTTCAAAAGCAAACAAAAGAGTTGAAATTAACCAACAGGTTCTCGTATGTTATTATTCCGCCACATTTGAGACTTAAAATCTTGTACATTTCATGTCAAATCCTGTTGCGAGAAGTGCTCAGTCATTAACAGGTTATTTTTCTTATTGCGCACGAAAGCATCCAAAGTTTGGATCGATGAGTGTATTTACTTGATGTTTTGATAAATGTCTCTGAGAACTTTACAACATAACATTTTGACAGTGTTTCTCCCGTTTCTTGCCGCAGTGCACGGCCTCTCCGCCAGCTCGCAGGACTCGGCCAAGTCCCCGGAGCCGTCCGCAGACGACGAATCGCCGGACAACGATAAGGAAACTTCCAGCAGCGGCGGCAGCGACTCCGGCAAGAAGCGAAAAAGGAGGGTGTTGTTTTCCAAGGCGCAGACCTACGAGCTGGAGCGCCGCTTCAGACAGCAGAGGTATCTTTCCGCGCCGGAGAGGGAGCACCTGGCCAGCCTGATCCGCCTCACCCCGACCCAGGTGAAGATCTGGTTCCAGAACCACCGGTATAAGATGAAGAGAGCCCGGGCCGAGAAAGGTATGGAAGTGACCCATCTCCCTTCTCCCAGGCGGGTGGCCGTGCCCGTCTTAGTCAGGGATGGAAAGCCTTGTCACACTCTTAAAGCTCAGGACTTGGCGGCCACTTTTCAGGCCGGGATCCCCTTCTCGGCTTATAGCGCCCAGTCACTCCAACACATGCAGTATAACGCGCAGTACAGCGCCGCGGCCACGGCACAGTTCCCCACAGCACATCACTTGGTGCAAACGCAACAGTGGACTTGGTGAGAGAAATGATAGAGACTTGGCTTGGAGGCACGATAGGGAGTTTCACCACAGAGCAAAGAAAAAAGATAAAACACAAAAAACAAAAGACTTTTCATTTTTGCAGCTTGACTCATATATATACTACCATTTTTATTCGGGGCTCATGTGTGCGCCGTGTTTACATGTTTTCGTTAAGAGAACTGGGTCCGAACCTCTCCCTTATAGATTTTATTCAGAATGTCAATGCTCTTCTTGTGATTTTTTTTGTAAAGTATGTTGTGTGTTGGTTGTAGAGATGTTTTCCTCTTTTTATTTTCTTTTGTCCCCTCGTGTTATTATCAGCACGTACGAACCACTTTATAATTATAGAAATTTTAATTTCTTGCTTCTTTTATGGACCGAAAAAATATTTATGGCCATGAATAAACACTGGCAACTTTTCAGAAATTTTCCTTTTGTTTTTATTTCTGTAAATATTTTGTGGCAAATGTTGACCTGGGCAGAGAGAGATTTCGGGAGCGTGAAACCGAGGGACGTCGATACACATCAAATATTTAAAAACACTTTTCAAAAATAAGGTAGTAATTTTAAGAAAAACTACAATAACCCACACATTTGCAGCACCGATTTGAGGGCTAAAAAAAAAAAAAAATAGAAAATAGTTTTTTAAGTTAGTAATCCTTTATTCAACCCAATGTTTGATTTATGTTAGTGTCCTATTCGATTGACCATCTCTGAGAAAAACAACAGCGCTTCACATTTTAAAGGAGGGGGGCAAACCAGACACAATATTGTGGTCCAAAATGGGAACAAATCTCCAGCGCACTTCACCCTTTTTCCTTTTAAGCAAATTTAATCCGGTGAATATTTTTCTGAATCCAAACACCTCCTTCATAAAGAGCCGAAAGTCACTTGTGAAATGGGACTAAAATCCACTCACTTAATATAAGAGGGCTTCTCCACATAAGAAGCTTTTGAATGAAAGCTCTCCTTTTTGTCAGCATCCTCCACCACTCCCAGCCTTGGGTGTAAAGTGGTAGACTGCGGAAGGGAAAAATCGTTTAACGCAATAACTGTTTTGTTATCTTGTTAGGCGCTAAACTGCAAATAGAGCAGGAATAATCAATGGGTCGCCAGCCTTCTTTGTTTAACCTTGGCCAACGTTGGACTAAAGTGCGCACGGCTCAGTGGGGCTTTAACCTCGTAATAAAGTTATTTTTCACATGGTCATATAACGTGGTAGCAATGATATCCCGCATTATATACAGGCTACTCTGCCCCATTAGTCTCCGTGTTCTTTACGGTGGAACCAAAACAAGCACAAATGGCTCCCCAGTGATCCGCTGCGCACTGCGGATTATCAGCCTCTAGTCAATATCTTGGGTAAATATGATAACCTAGTCGAAAATCCATGCATTCTGTTTGTCCCGGGACAAAAATCTCACAACAGATGTTAGAGTCGCCCCTATCATCACTGAACAAACAGCCAAATTGGGCAGATTTGCTAATTATTTACAGAATTGAGTCTCAAGGGGCTACTGCTTTTGTGGGCAACACAGACTCAATTTGTCCCTGACAGAAAGGTTTTGTGTTGCGCCACCGGTTGAGCTTGTAGGTCAAATAAATCAGCAAGTTGGTCATAATTTGTTTTTCTTAAGCCTTTGTCGATTAAAAGAAATACACAGATTCCCCAACAGCATGCTAAAAATCGCCTGCACCACAATGAAAAGGTGAAATGAGGAGAAATTCAAGTCAGATTTAATTCGATTTACCGCGGAAGGATGAAGGACTGGTCGACTCTGGCAGAATTTTAGAGAACTCAGGCAAACACGTCGGCTCCTTTCAATAACAAACTTAACTCACTTAAAGACAATACCAATATTTAAAACATCGTGCGTAAAAGAAAAATGTGGGCTTGTGTTTTTCTCTTATTGCCTTTTGTGATCAGGCACTTTTGTGACTCTATCATTGCATAATACAGTACATGACACAACACAGAGACAAAAGGCCAGGCCTGCTTTCTGCTGTGTGTTAGAGGCGTGCATGTTAACGAGCAGCAGGATGCAGAGAGTGAAGATAGAGAGACTGACAGAGTTGCTTGGTGCTGTTCAGAGTCAGGGAGATGCATCCTTGGGCTTTTTGTCCTGCCTGTCACTTGGTGCCATTGTGATCTTTGCTGCACACGTTGTCTCCCATATGGGCAGCTGGGCTCGGAAAAGGAGAAAAGGATCTTTCACAAACCCCAAATTGTATCAAGCTTTCAAATAAAGCATTGTTGTCTCTCAAAGAAAAACGAATTAAAAATTCGTGCTATATCTATTCTGGTCAAAAAAGAAGCTCCATTCACAGATAACAGGGAGTCCTTCTTCCTTGATAGAGCTATGCCAACAACAGCCTTCTCATTTCTCTTTCCCTACATCCCCCATTCTGCAGGGTGAAAGACTGATTCTAGTCTGTCCGAAAAAGTCGCTCCTCACAGCTCAAAAACTATTTTTAAATACAAGACAGTGTTCTTCCTTGTTTGCTTTGAATCCCGCTGGTATGCGTGGGTCGATTTCTAAAATGGACACATGGAAACATATTTGACACAATTTCCTACCCACTAGAGCCCGTTTTATTGTTTTTCTGTTCACATCAGGTGTAAAATGAAGCCACTGTGTACATCATGTGCAATTTAAAGGTGGGGTTTCACACGGTCAACATTTCCTGGATGTTGCGCCATGCAACAGTTTAATTATATAAATTGAAATACGAATTAATGTAAGAGTAAACATTTCTGGCATTATTTGGATTATATTTAAATTGTCAATGTGTTGAAGGACGCTGATGTTTTTCAGTTGGAACATACCCTTGGAGATATTGCCAGATGTTTATTGGACTATTGCGCAAGCGTCTACTTCATTGACTACAAATTAGATTTTCAAAAATTGATCCTTAATTCATTTATATGCCACTGTTTATTTATATACGTATGCATTTACATTTTTAACTATGGGAGACATTTAAAGTGTTCCAGGTCCCTCAAATCTTGATCTTAAATCCTGACTCAAATTGTTGCCTTAAATACATTTTTAAACCCAAATTTTAAAAATCTGCACCAAGCCAGGGCTGCACAATTACCTTGGTTTGGCCCAAAATAAAAAGTACAAGTCGTGTTACAGTCTTCATAACAAACTTTTACGGTGAACAACATTTGCGTTGCACCCGTGTTTTGTCATTAACGCACCAGAAAATTTTCACCACTTCACCACCAGCACAGCAACAGGGTCAGATTTATCGGAAATTGCTTTTGGCTGCTTGGAGGGATAACGCAGGCGACATTAAAACAAGTATCTCGGCGTGCAGCATAGTTCAACCTGCGTGGATAACACTATTATATACCCTGGAATACAATACTTGAGGAAATGTGCACTTGGGACACCATGGATCTTCGTCATCCTGCCCATTTGAACCTCGACATGAATCATTTTCTATCACGCACATCGCCAAATAAACGAGGATTTCAAAGCTATAATAATAAGAGGTGCTTTTCATTTAAAGGAAGCTATCTGGGTTTTATTGCCTTAAAGGAGATCCAGATTAGATTCGCCACAGTGCAGATATTAAACAGAGCGGGATGAATGAAGGGAGGGAGAGAAGGGAGAGAAGGGAGGGAGGGGGGGGACGAAATGTTGCACCAAACGGCCACAAGATGGAAGCAGAGGTCTGCAGTTGGCGTTATGCAGCTTTTACCTGCAAATGTCTCACAGCTCATCTGATTCCTGCAGCACACATTACTCCAACCAAATCATATTCAGCGGCTGTTTTTCTGTTTAATGAACAGACATCACAGCAAACTTGACTGTCTCTTTAAGTGCATGATTGAGGTTTATGACATTGTTAGGGATCTTGAGAGCATAATCATATCGCCCTTGAAAACAAACTATAGACTAAACAGTTCATATGCAATTACTACTTCCATTTAAGAAAAAGTAAGAGAGAGAGAATGACTCGGAGCATCCACGGTGTGGCGCAATAGGATAGGGGGAAAATGTGGTGTAGATTAATTCACTTCAGTGAAAGTGAACAATAGAGCTGAAGTGCGGTTTTCCAAGGGAAGACTCAGCTCAGCCAGAGTCCTTCACAACAAAGGAGCCTTTAAGTCAAATGTCCTCAGCAATGTGAAAAACTGAATCCTCATCTGTGAAATGTCTTTGCTAGAATTGATCAAAGGAGACTGAGGGGTTTTTGGGGGGTGAGGAAGGTGTCTTTATTGAATTGTCTCACCTCCTATCCAAAAAAACAACAACATATCCTATGAGCTCCCAAGAGAAATAGAATATATTTTGGGTCTGATCAAACAAGGTACTACATGTGCCAATTTAATCACATTATTCAGTCGTAGACTTACTGTCCAGGCTGCAAAGTGCCCCAGAACCATCATCTCCTCATGCGGAGAAGAAAGTATGCAAAGCACTGCAAAATGGGTCATATGACAAAATAAAAGGCTTCCATCTTTATGCACCTGCTCAGTTCAGCATCAGTGAGCCTGCACCTGTAGGGGGCCTCATTGGGTTAGAAAGCTGCAGCAGCAGGGGGGTAGAGGGATGCAGAACATGAAGGAAGGAGGGCGAGAAAGAGGGGGGGGGATACATATTTAATCTTCCACAGTTCTGATCACGTTAAAGAAGCTGGTGCGGAGAAACAAAATAAAAAGAAAGAGCTGTTGTCCTACAGAGCAGACAGCCAAATCCAGACACACGTATTTTCAAACTAGGATTCATTTGAGTCTAATTGAAAAGACACAAATGATCTTAAAACCTGATAAAAAAAAAAATATATCTCCAAAATAAATTCCAACCCACTTTCTTATGTCTAGTGACAACAACAGTGTGTGTGATTGTTTAGGTACCAGTGTGGAGTATTTACTGTGAGTGGTTCAGTGTGAATCTGAGAGATCCCACACTGCGAATCCACAAGTTTACTCAGAGAGACAGACACCATTGTTCGGCTACAATCTGCATGGGAAGAAGCTGCAGAGCTGAGAGACACTCTGGTTTGTGTGTGAGTGTGTGTGTGTGTGTGTGTGTGTGTGTGTGTGTGTGTGTGTGTGTGTGTGTGTGAGTGTGTGTGTGCGTGTGTGTGTGTGTGTGTGTGTGTCTGCAACATTTCAGCACATCTCTTAACTCTGGGTGTTCACTTTACACATGAAAAAAAAACGTCATTCACTCAGCAACCTTTTGCTTTGAATTTCAAATCTGAAAAGAAATAACAGTCACATGCATTTGTACCCTTAACAATAATATTAGCTGCACGTTTAATTCATGAAAATTAAGCAGTTAAATGGCAAACAGCATTGCTTTATATATATATTTTTTCCAATTGGTCGATAACTCGTTTGATAAATGTAATATAATAAATGCACATTGATGAAGCCCTTCATTTAGATACAATTTATTCTCCTCTCTGCTGGAATCCTCTAGAAAAA